CAGCCCCTGTCTAAATAAATGAATTAACCGGAAAATCAAATTTAAGCAACTTACTCAAATATCTCTTCAATCAAGATCCCAAAGACTCACATTGAAAGTGAAGTGGAGGGAAAGGTAAACACACACAAATACACAAGCCTGAAGTTATAAATAAAAAGTCTCAATCATTCTCATTTCAGTTATTCCGTAATCATTTCTTATATGAAAAGTCAATGCCTATTAGACGTCTCTAGTCAAGACACTCAAAGTGTCTAAAATTAACTTTTTACCTCAACTGCAATGTATTTAATGTCATCATCTTTCTTGATCCTTACGGACTCGGCCAACTTATTCATCTTAGTGAATAAGTATTTCCTACTTGGTTAATGATATTATCTACTATCTTCCCTGATCTGGAGTTATACAGTTACGTTTTTCTGCAACAAAAGATATGTTTTTAAATGTGCCGTTGTGTTTATGACATGTGACCAATTGCTTCAGAATCTCAATTCTGGTTTTATCATGTAGTCGACTAGTTATGTTTCCCAACTTCAACAAGAATAGAAAGAAAGAGAACTACTATTTGAGTACCTTCATTGCTGAAGGTACTATATTAGGAACTATGTACAATCGTCATATAACAACATTTTGAGATATTATCCAAATTTTAGAGATAGGGAATCTCAATTGTTCCTTAGAGACATAGGAAACTAACGATCAAAGGAGTTAACTGAGATGCCTAAGTCAGAGATCTGGTAAGTCATGATTTGAACCAGTGCCACCTAAAGCAGTAACTCACAATAACTATTTGCTCTCTACCATTTGCTATGCCATAAGAACAAAAAGTATGCCATAGGAACAAAGCCCTACAAGCATACCTGAGAAATTTACTTCAGATCAATGGTCCTTGAAATTAAGACGGCAAGGGAGTGTCAAACAAAAGTCATCTACTCAAGGTGGATGTACAAAGTATTCACTACCTTGTCCATAAGAATCTCAGTGACTTTATCAGACACACTTAAAATCCTGATTATTCTTCAAGAAGTTTTATCAGTATTCCAAACAGGCTGCATTTCCATTAAGCAAAACAACAGAGAAGGTGTTCTAGACTGCGATCCCCCTCCCCCACCCCTCGGGGCAGGTGTTGACCACATGCAGTACACTGACAGTGGGCAAACTTCTGGATCTCAGACCTAGGGCCGAAGAGAGGAGGAATCTGCAGAGCCACAAATGCACGCCAGGGCTCTCCCCAGCACTTTTGCAACAATGACTAGACCCCCCACCTCCACCCTGCTGACATAGCAACTGCAAAAATAGGTCTCAGTATCTATAGAAGTTGGCAAGGGCCAAAAAAAATCAAATCAAATGAAAGCACAGTGTCACCTAATAGAAAGTGAAAGTAATTCAATTCTCTGTTACTGTTAGAGATATAAAAAAAAAAAAAAAGAACAGGAAAATTTAAAGACACAAAATGAGCAAACAAAAAAATTTTTTCTCACAGCAATTTGAGACCCCAAGGGACTATATCAGAAGGCAAGAACGAATGCTTTCCAGAATCTAACCACAAAGACAAAGAAGATTATAACTACCTATCTGAATGAAAAATACTTCATAATTAGTATTAAAAAGAAACTTAAAGAGCTAGAAGAAAACTCAAAGAGCAAATCAAAGAGACACAAGAGAACTCAGAAAAGAGACAACAAAACTTAGAAAAATAAATTAATGAGCTCAGAAATAAAACTGATGACCAGAAAGTTGAAATTAAAGCTTTATATGAGACTATAACAGAGATCCAGCATAGAAGGAACTCAATACATGAGATCCAGAGCTCTAGAGAAAGCTATGTAAACAGAATAGACCAAATGGAAGATCAGATGAATGACTTATGTAATGTACAATGGACTCGGGTTGAATAAGAAAGAGAAATAAGATCTTAAGAAAAAAATTAAAAAGCACAAGAACTATCAAATTACATTAGGAAAGGCAACATAAGGAAAATAGGTACTCAAGAAGGGGAAGAGAGAGAAGAAGGGAAAAGAGTTTATTCAAAGAAATATTAAAGGAAAACTTTTCAAACCAGGGAAAGAACTGAATATGTACAAATACATAGACACCTGGTTATCTAAGTCTAATGAGACTTAACACTAAAACATAATGCAGCTATCTAGATTTCAAGACAAATAAAGAATACTGAAGGCAGCTATTGAAGAAAAGAAGGTAACTTATAAAGGTACTCCCATCAGGCTGTCATCAGACTTCTCAGCAGAAACTCTACAGACCAGGAGAGAATGGAATGACATATTCACAACCCTCAAAGAAAAACAACTGCCAGCCATGAATACACAGTCCTACAAGACTTTCAAATATAGAGGAGAAAAAGGCCTTCCCAGGCAAATAAAGAGATGAATGAGTTTGCCAAGACTATACCTCTCCTACAAGAAATACTGAAATAAGATCTCCTATGTAAATTGAAGAGAAGCTATTGACCAAAAAAACAAAAAACAAACAAGAAAATAAATATAGAACCAGAAGCTAAAGACAAAATGATAGAACAAGCCCTCAAATATCAACAATAACCCTTAAAATTCATGAACTGAACTTACCAATCAAAAGACAGAGTGGATGGATGGATGAAAAAGCAAATCACAACTACATGGTATCTACAAAAGACTCGCATGGTAAAAAGACAAACATAGACTTAAAATCAAGGGATGAAAACTGGTATTCCAAGTCAGTGGAAAACTAGGAACTGCTGTATGTATAGCAGATAACACATTTCCAGCCAAAAAAAAAAAAATATAGCAAGAGACAAAGAATATTAGATAATAATAAAAGGATCAGTACATCAGGAAGAAATAATTATCAATATATATGCACCAAATAAAAATTTTAAAATAATTAAAAGCCATGGAATAAATTTAACCAAAGAAGTGAAAGACCTATTTACCGAAAATTTTAAAACACTCTTGACAGAAATAGAAGCAGGCAAAAAGAAATGGAAGTTAGCTCATGTTCATAGATTAGAAGCTAAAATGGCTATATTACCTAAAGGAATATACAGATTCAATGCAATCCCTCAAAACCCCAGTGATACTCTTCATAGAAACAGAACCAAAAAATGACATTTACTTGGAACAACAAAAGACCCTGAATAGCAAAAACACTCGATTAAAAAAAAAAATTGGCAGTATCCACACTCCCTTACTTCAAACTATACTACAAAATGAAGCCATTAAAACAGCTAGGTATTGAAATAAAAACCGAAACAAAGATCAGTGGAATAGAATTAAGATCCCCAAAATAAACCCACATGTCCTAGGAAGTTAGTTTATGTCAAAGGATCAAATAGCATACAATGGAGAAAGGAGTCTCCTTAAGAAATGGTGTTGGAAAAGCTGGACAGCTACATGCCAAAGAATGGAATCAGATCATTCTCTCATACTATATACAAAAGACTTGAATGTAAGATCTACAACCATAAAATGCATAGAAGAAAAAACATAGATGATACACAGTCTCAGAGATGTGTAATTGTGCTCAACTACAATGACAAGGGAAACAAAAGTACTCATCAAACTAAAAGGCTTCTATACAGCAAAAGAAAAGATGTATCAAAACAAAAAGACACCCTACCAAATGGGAGAAGATCTCTGCATGTGGTATATCCAACAAGGTGTTAATATTCAAAATATACAAAGAATTCATAAAACTTAACAGTTTTAAAAAAATTTTATATGGTTTTCTAAATTCCTGCTTTGAGTGAGACCATCTAGTATTTTTCTTTTTCTTTCTGGCTTATTTTGCTGAGCATGATCCCTTCCAGCTCCATCCACATTGCTGCAAATGGCATGAGTTTATCTTTTTTGATTGCTGAGTAATATTCCATTGTGTATATGTACCAAATCTTCTTGATCCAGTCATCTATATTTGGGCATTTAGATTGTTTCCATAGCTTAGCTATTGACCAGGGAAAAGACTAATTATTATAATAAAGTAAAAATCAAAATCAACAAGCAACTATAAACCAGAGACACACTATTGGGAGGGGGGAGGAAGGAGTAGGGTCAAAATAAGGGGGGTGGGAATTGTATGGGGAATATAACCAAGATGAAAATGCATACATTGTGCAAAAATGAAAAATGATGTAAAAAATGTATTAAATTAAATTAAATTAAAAAAATTACACGGGAAAGACAAAAATACAGATAGCCAATAGGCACATGAAAAGATATTCACACCTTATTATTAGAAAAATTTATATCAAACCAATGAGTTAACACCTCTTGCTTATGGCTATTATTCAAAAGACAAGAAACAAGAAGCATGGCAGAGGATGTGGAGACAGAATGTAAACTGATGTAGTCATTATGGAAAGCAGCACTGAAATTGCTGAAAAAATTAAAAATAGAAATTTCATGCAATGCACTTATCCCACTTCTGGGTATTTACCCAACAAAATACAAAAACACTAACTCAAAGAGATACATGCACCCCATGTTTATTTCAGCACTATTTATAAACAGCAAGAACTGGAAACAACCTAAGTACCCAGTAATTGATAATCAATAAAGGTGTAGTATTTTTACCTAATGGAATACTACTCAGCTATAAAAAAGAGGAAGCCTTGCTATGTACAACAGTATGGATGAATCTAGAGGGAATTATACTTAGTGAACAATACCAGAGAAAGATGAACACCAATAATTTCACTCATGTGGTACACAGAGAAAAACAGATGAACTAAATAAAACAAAAATAGACCAATGAGACAATGAGATAGATTAGTGTTACCAAAAGGGAAAGGGGAAGGAGGAAGGTAAATCAGGGAAAAAAGAGACAATGGTATGGTGAGGGACAGATTTGGACTTTTCATGGTGAACTTAATGTAGTATTTACACATGTAGATCTGTGGTTAACATCTGAAACTTATGTAATGTTATAATACAATGTTACTTCAATAAAAAAAAAATTTTAATTTTAAAAAGCATACAAGTGATGAGAAAGAAATGAAAATACTGTACTTTTATCTCCAGGCAAGATGGATCGGTAAAATCGGTCCTTCTTTTTCTTCTCCTCTGGGTTTGGGGGCAGAGGTTTGGAACCATGGTTTAGGGTTCCAGCATCTTTGCTGCCAGCGCCAATCATAGTGCTAGTGTTTCTCATGGGAGGGGCTGGGGGTTTATCTTGAATGTCGAGGCCGTTATTTGACATTGTCACCACCACCAGCAGCCACTGGAATCAGAAAGAAGAACATGATTCTTTTATTATTTTTGAGTAACACATGTTGAAATTTTTTAAAGGAATCCAAATTGTACCACTCTTCCTCTAAGGTCCAGTTTAAATCCTTCCATTCTCTGCACACCATGAAAACTGTTAGCTTATTGAATCAACGATACTCAACACATAATACCTACTCTATCCTAGGAACTGCTGAAAATGTACAAGGCTTGTGCTTTTCTCTGCAGTTCCACATCTAAGAAAACCACCATGATGAAGTTTAAGGCAGAAATTTGGCCCAGCTAAACAAAATTTGAATCCCAGTGGCATTTACTAGCTTTAGAGAAATTTCTTAACTAAGTGGGTTCTATTTATTCAATCACATGAAGATGAAATAAAACTGCTAACAGTATTCCACAGTGAGTTCTCTGCCATCCTCTAATTTTATAACTTTGGGAAAATCACTTTCTCTCTCTGAAAAGGGCTACATCACTATATCAAGGGTCAACAAAGCTGCCACTTTTACAAATTATTTCACTGGGACACAGTCACACCCGCTAATTTATATACTGTTTGTGGCTTCAGCCTATGGTGGAGTTCAGTAGTTGCAGCAGAGAAGGTTATGTCCATATATGTAAAATATTTACTATGTGTTCCTTTATAAGAAAAGTTTATAGACCCCATAGACTATACATCTCTTCACAGTGTCTCCTTCCTCTAAAATTTGGCCTTATTCTAAATATATAGTGGTGAATGTATTGTAGTAACAATCCTGTCCTCTATGTGTTGAATTTATATGCAATCTTCAGTGCTTGTAGGAAATAGAATAAAATCTCAAAGAAAGTGGGGGAAAGCCCCACCTCATGATACCAACAGTTTTAATGAGATAGATGTTATTATCTTAAATAAGTATCCACGAAAATGGATAGAAATTAATGTATTTAAACTTAATAAAGTTTCTCATTATTCTTCCATGCTACAGTATAAATGACATCTTTAACCATAACTATATAGAATAAACTCCTCAGACTCAAATACAATCCTGCTTTAGAGACCAAAGTTTCTAATCAAAAACAAATAAACAAAAAACAGCAAAAAAAATTACCAAGAGCTTTTGAGAAATGCAAATGCCTTCTATAGATCCTAACACATTTTGACTTAGCATGGCTAGCTTAAACGCCAAAATTCTGTATTTTAAAAAGTTCTGATTCTATTGTCAATCACATTTGAACACCACAGCTTTAGGCAGTTACTTAAATGCTATCGTCAAACCTATAGGAGTCTTCTAGACATTTTCTAATAAAAGCAGAACTAAATGATCCTCTGCATCTATCTTCCCCTCAGTTCTTTCACCTTCTTTTTTTTTTTTTAAATATTTATTTATTTTTATATAAGAGGTGGCTCAGGAGGGTGAGAGGATTCACCAGAGATGGAGCAGAGCAGGCAGACAGACCGAAGACACTGCTGAGGGGAGCAGCGGGCAAGACAGGAGAGGTCTGCAGCGCCATGTGGGAATCAACTTGGCCAGCCGGGAATCGAACCCACGCTTCTGAGGCTGCACACAGCTTCACAGCACTGCACTCAACCCACTGTACCACTGGGGAGGCCCAGTTCTTTCACCTTCTATCAGTTTGAAGGTCCTTCTACCATTTCACCGAGCCCACCCATCCGCCTCACTTCTCACCACTGCCACTCCTATATTCTAGCCATAGCAACTTCTCCAACTTCTTCAAGTATACCTTAGTTTTCACAATTCCATTCCTACATGCTGTTCCCTTTGATTTAGGTCAATTGCCCTTTCATCAAATTGTGCATTCACTCATCCTCCAAATGCTGCTTCTTCCATGAAGCCCTTTTGGAAAACTTTTCATCTCCAAGAAGTTTCTCCTGCAACTCTCAAGGCATTGTTTCTAAATTATCACATTTATTTTTCAGAATGTCCCTCAAAGGTTGGGCCCCAATGTTGTCACCTTTGCAGTCCAAATGTGCCTAGTATAGTATCTAACTCAGAGTAGATTCAAGAAATATGTAATTAATGAAAAGTTTGTACTGTCTTTAAGGAAATTTGTACAGATGAAATTTAAGGGTCCTTTCACAATCTGATATCAACCTGCCTTACAAACTAAGCCACCACACATGGACACATTCTACATTCAAACTACACCTGCGAAATCTCTGTTCCTCTTAGTTTGCCAAGTAGTCTATGACCCAATTCTTGATCTCTCCATGCTTCCTTATCAATGATTTCTCTCCCCTCTGACTGATAAAAACTACTCATCCTTCAAGGTCAAATTCAAACTTCCTCTCTGAATAATTCTTCCTGGTTTTCCTTTCAAACTTTACTTCTCTTTTGCAAGAGAGAGGGAGAGGGAGAGGGGGAGAGGGGGAGAGGGGGAGAGAAAGAGAGGGGAGAGAAGGAAGGAGAGGAGAGAGAGAAAGAGAGGAGAGAAAGAGAGAAGGAGAGAGAGAAAGAGAGAAAGAGAGAGAGAGAGAGAGAGAAGAAGAGAAAGAAAGAAAAGAAAGAGAAAGAAAGAAAGAAAGAAAGAAAGAAAGAAAGAAGAGAAAGAAAGAGAAAGAAGAAAGAAAGAAGAAGAAAGAAAAGAAAGAAAGAAAGAAAAAGAAAGAAAGAAAGAAAGAAAGAAAGAAAGAAAGAAAGAAAGAAAGAAAGAAAGAAAAGAAATCAAGTAGGCAAGAAGTTAATCTAGATTAACTCTGGGTGGTATGTTTTCTATCCTTTTCTTCCATTTTCACTTCACAGTCCCAACTCAAGTCCCTCTGCTTCCTCAAAGAGAGTTACCACTGGCTCAGATGTCAAGTGTACCTTCTACCTGTACTGCCAGTTCTAAAATTACACTTCCTGTAGCCACCTGATATCCTAAGCAGGCCCTTCCTTGCCTCTTATGTCCCTCAGTCAATACCTTCATTGACTGTAACACCCACCACCCGAGATTTTGCCTAGAAAGACTTCATTAACCTTCCTGACACAAGTTTTTCTTCGTGTCTGAATTCCCTCATTAGACTTTGAGAAATCCCAGTGGTAGATCTCCACTGTCATATAGATGCCAAATTATTTAAAACCTAAAATCTAGTGATAGGAAATCTACAGTTTCAAAAGTCCGTCTATTCTCTCTTTGGTTACCTCATTTAGAGAGTTCTCACTTAAATTTTTTTCTCACACGGCATTGCAATTATTTGTTTACACATTTGCCTCCCTTTACACTCCCCTTCCCTGCCAGACTTAGACTATGAACTTCTCAGGAACAAAGTTCAGTCTTATTTAAGGGTATTTCTCAAACACCAAATCCTGGTATAGAATAATCAATAATGATTTGCTAAACAAATGACAAAATAAAAGAACAAGTTAACAAATGAACAAAAAAAAACTACTTCCATCAGTTAGTCCTAAAACCTATCCCTTAAGACTATTCAGAAAAATCTACCTCTTTCCCAGACAAAATTTTAGATATGAGAAAATCAGCCTTCAAGCCTTCCAAATCTACTTACTCAATGCTCACATTGCCAGTATCTTCAACTAGGCGACAGAACACAATCCTGTGCTTTCTTGGTCCTGGTCTCTGAACTTAGATGGACTTGGTATTTCTACCACTTTCCAGTGTCCCTGAGCACTCTAATCATTCTTTTCCTGTGGCTTCTCCCCAAGCATTTTCTCTCTTTACATTTCATAGATCCCCTCACTGCTCATTTTGTCTAGCTATCATCAGCACATTTGATAAGCTATAATATTTTAAACTCTGTTTACAAAAAACACACAAGTCTAAAACATCAATCCTAAGAGTGAAAAAGGAAGAAACACACTAAACTCTTAAAAAAGGAAGCCAAACACAGCATAAATCTCCTCAGTCTCTTCTGGTCAAAGATTTGGGACGATGACAAACTAATACTGTCTGACATGGCACAGTAGCAAATTAGGCTAAAGTCAATGTTTAGAATAATTCTGATAGCATATCTCTATTCATCTTAGACAAAAAATTGTTAGAACAGAGGAAGTGCTTGCTTTGGCAGCATAGTAAAAGTGGAATGATACAAAGAAGATTAGCATGGCCCCGCATAAAGATGACACAAATACATGAAACACTCCATCATTTTTAAAAAAGGGAAAAAATGGCCTGAGAGACAGACTGACCAGGCTTTACCACTGTCCCAGAGACTCAAGGAGCCTAATAAATTATGAGCACTAATTACATTGAAGTATTAGTTATGAATCAATTGAATGGCTCTATGATAAATGTAGGATCACTCTAAGATTTTAAAAGGGTCGGGCCTCCCCGGTGGCACAGCGGTTGAGCGCTGGGTTGCGAAGCTGCCCGCAGCCTCTGCAGCGCCAGTTCGTTCCCCGGCTGCTCCCCGGCCACCGGAGGAGGGTCCCACATGGCGCGCAGACCTCTCCTGCCGCCCGCTGCTCCCCTCAGCAGTGTACTTCGGTCCTTCTGCCTGCTCTGCTCCCCGCTCTGCTCTGGTGAATTCTCTCACCCTCCCGAGCTTCTGACTGTACCCAGTGCATGTAAACAAACAAACAAATAAATAAATAAAATAAATAAATAATGCATGCCTCTTAAAAAAAATCATTAAAAAAAAAAGATTTTAAAAGGGTCATTGACAGGGCCAGTTAATAAAAAGATGAATAGAGTTTAAATCAGGAGATCTGAGTTTAAGTTCTGGTGCTGCTATGCACTAGTTCTGGCCCTAACAGAACTTCCTGAACCTATGAGCTTTCATTTGTTATTTCCTTCTATGCTCTCTCGAGACGTAGATGGTCAAGAGACAACTAAGGAGGGAATATGATTTGTCTCTCTTTTGCTGTAAAAAGCATAAAGATGCAGTACTAGAGTAGAAAGAAAAAGGTAAAAACACTTTTCAAATAACCACTATGTGTAAGGTTCTTCACATACTGCATGAAACTGGATAGGATTCAGGAAAGGAATTGTGCTCACCAAATAACTATTTTCCAATTTGTCACCTCTGGACCCCACAGTCTCTAGTATAAGGCAGAGCCA